ACTGATGCAAAATACATTTCTTTTAGTAAGGATTCCATGGTTGATATATTTGAAAATGTAGCAAGGAAGTTGTTCAAAAGAGAACTACAAGGTTTAAAGATAGCTCTTGGTCCCTGGGACAATCGTTGGAAGAACACGAAAGAGCCAAAAAAGATGACAAAAAAAATGACAAAAGAACTGAAATTTTGAAATATTTTACAAACCTGAACTGAAAATATCCGAGAAAAGACATTTACCCACATGTTGTTCACCTTTTTTGAAAAGTTTAAAACGTCTTTGTGAATAATCACCAAGCAGCTGAAGGGTATTAGTAAAGTACATAGGAATTAGATCCTGATGCCAGTATAAAATTTATTAGGTAGAAATAAAATTACTTGCAGACTATAATATAGTTATTATACTTGCATCAGGAATTATAGAATCAATTAGCATTCTAACCGATGCGACCAAATATATAATGTGAAGCAAATCATGAATATGTCGACTGTACAGGTAACATGGGGGATCTAAGCATATATCATGAACAAGGCTGATGATTGTCTCCGTAAGCTTAACGTTTCTATGGTTTGGCTGTTGGTCAATTTGTGCCTGAGAAGAACTATATATGAGAAACCAGTCACCAAATCAGCCATGAGAGACAATATATCTCGGAAAGGCCATACACGTTCTTGGTAATGTAGAAGTAGAGAACCAAATCAGCTGCGTAGCTATTTCCAATATTATCCGGTAAGGCCTGAAAAGCATACTTCTTGAGAATTTCATTTTTCATTATCACAGTATAAACTGAAAGAAGAAGAGCAACGGGGTAAAAATAGAATTTACGTTATGGTATAATTTGAACAAGTATATATATATATATATATATATATATATATATATATATATATATATATATATATATATATATATATATATATATATATATATATATATATATATATATACGTTATCCTCTATCCCACTTTCTGTATGTTCCGAACTATAAAAAATATGTATGCAATTTGGATTTTTGAAGAAGCTATTGCAATTTTTCAGTCATAGCGCGACGATGTCTGCAGTGTGAATGTTTATAGATATCTGTAGCACAAGGCAGGCCAAACCAAGGATGTACTGGGCCCAAGGCAGCAAGGATGAGCGGGTGCCCCGAGCAACAAAACTGCATTGCGGAGAAGCGCGAGGCCCAACGCGTTTGCTTTGCTCGCCAAGCCCTAAGGCTGGGCCTAGCACTAGGACATTATGCCGCGGATATGAAGCATGATCTCTTACGAAGCCACATTATTCTGACAACAGGCCGATATGTCCAAACTCTAACCTCTTAAAAAATTGAAACTTAATGTCCTGCATAGTACTGAGCAGCACTATAAGGCAAAATATGTCAATTACTTCAAAAAAGACTTTTCAAACATATGAATATTACTGTTTTTGCTAAAAGGTTGAAAAACTTACGCAAGAGAACAAAGATTATATTACATGTCAATGAAGAAAAAAAGGATCACGCATGCCATAAATATCTACCTTGTATAAAGAGAACCTAGTATGGATCAATGAATTGCTGTTATCCAACTTAAATAACAAAAGGATCATGTTTATTAATCTTATTATGGTGACCAAGCCAAATCATGAATACTATCTTGGCTGAAATGGTAACATGATTAATCATATCATAGGTCATGGTAACGTTTAATTTATAAATTGATATACGACTTTTGCGACAAGCTAAAACAAATATCTGGTGATTAAATGAGGCAGAGTTTGAAAGAGACGTATTCGCAATATATTCGTTTATTGTAAAATAACTTTTACGATGACATTAAGAATAACATTCTGTTTCCTAAGACAAATGATTGAAAGAAAAACCATTTTGTCGGTATTCCTCAAATGAATTAGGAAGACACTATCACTTTCAAAACCTACTTCCACGTCTATCGACATATGTTTTATCACTGATTGAAAATCTTTCTTGGATCTGTTTCTATGTATTTCTTGTATATTTTAAGACTTCATTTAAAGAACAGTTAAATAATTAACGAATTGTTACATTTCCTATAGCAGTATTATTTGTCATTATCTACCACATCAATGGTATTATCTACGGCATCTCTATCTTATTATGTTGACACATAAGAAGAGAATTCCATTGATGTGTTTTTCGTTAATGGACACAGGCACTAAATCTAAAGTAACTGCATCATACCATAGACAAAAAAAAAAACAATTCGTAATCCAAAATTGACAGTGATCTGTAAATATCTGAATGTCAAATGACACTTTAAATTCATTTACTTAAAAAGTGAACTAAATAACTTTCGTACATAACTTTTATGAATTCAACTGTTATTTTTCAGTTGCTTACTACCAGACTTTGAAGGTTCATAACTTTCTGTAGTCATCCTGTTTACAAAAATCGTCATTACCTATTGCGGTAATTCAGTTTACAAAGATCGTCATCACCTACTATAGCCATGCAGTTTACAAAGATCGTCATCACCTACAATAGTCATCAAGTTTACAAAAATCGTCATCACCTACTATAGTCATCCAGTTTACAAAGATCGTCATCACCTGTAGTCATCTAGTTTGCAAACATCGTCATTTTCTATTGTGATAATCCAGTTTACAAAGATCGTCATCACCTACTATAGTCATCCAGTTTACAAAGATCGTCATCACCTTATGTAGTCATCCAGTTTACAAAGATCGTCATCACCTACTATAGTCATCCAGTTTACAAAGATCGTTATCATATTCTATAGTCATCTAGTTTACAAAGATCGTCATCACCTACTATAGTCATCCAGTTTACAAAGATCGTCATTTCCTACTATAGTCCTCCAGTTTACAAAGATCGTCATCACCTACTATATACATCCAGTTTGCAAAGATCGTTATCATCTATTATAGTCATCCAGTTTACAAAGATCGTCATTATCTACTGTAGTCATCCAGTTTACAAAGATCGCCATCACCTTCTGTAGTCATCCAGTTTACAAAGATCGGTAATCACCTACTGTAGTCATCCAGTTTACAAAGGTCATTATCATCTTCTATAGTCATCTAGTTTACAAAGATCGTCATCACCTACAATAGTCATCCAGTTTACAAAGATCGTCATTATCTATTATAGTCATCCAGTTTACAAAGATCGTCATTACCTACTATAGTCATCCAGTTTACAAAGATCGTCATTACCTACTATAGTCATCCAGTTTACAAAGATCGTCATCACCTACTATAGTCATCCAGTTTACAAAGATCGTCATCACCTACTGTAGTCATCCAGTTTGCAATGAATTTCATCACCTTCTGTAGTCATCCAGTTTACAAAGATCCGTAATCACCTACTGTAGTCATGCAGTTTACAAAGATCGTTATCATCTTCTATAGTCATCTAGTTTACAAAGATCGCCATCACCTTATGTAGTCATCCAGTATACAAAGATCAGTAATCACCTACTGTAGTCATCCAGTTTACAAAGATCGTTATCATCTTCCATAGTCATCTAGTTTACAAAGATTGTCATCACCAAATATAGTAATCCAGTTTACATAGATCGTTATCACCTGTTATAGTCATCCAGTTTACAAAACTCGTCATTACCTATTGTGGTAATCAAGTTTACAAAAATCGTCATCACCTACTATAGTCATCCAGTTTATAAAGATCGTAATCACCTACTATAGTCATCCAGTTTACAAAGATCGTCATCACCTACTATAGCCATCCAGTTTACAAAGATCGTCATCACCTAATATAGTCATCCAGTTTACAATGCTCGTCATCACCTAATATAGTCATCCAGTTTACAATGATCTTCATCACCGTCTGTAGTCATCCAGTTTACAAAGATCCGTAATCATCTACTGTAGTCATCCAGTTTACAAAGATCGTTATAATCTGCTATAGTCATCCAGTTTACAAATATCGTCATTACCTATTGTGGTAATCAAGTTTACAAAAATCGTCATCACCTACTATAGTCATCCAGTTTACAAAGATCGTCATTACCTACTATAGTCATCCAGTTTACAAAGATCGTCATCAGCTTCTGTAGTATTCCAGTTTACAACAATCAGTCATCACCTACTGTAGTCATCCAGTTTACAAAGATCGTTATCATCTGCTATAGTCATCTAGTTTACAAAGATCGTCATCACCTACTATAGTCATCCAGTTTACAAAGATCGTCATCACCTTCTCTAGTCATTCAGTCTACAAACATCGTCATCACCTACTGAAGTCATCCAGTTTACAAAGGTCGTCATCACCCACTATATTCATCCAATTTACAAATATCGTGATCGCTCTAAGAAACCATTTGTTTTAACATTCACACTTCCAAAAATTTGATTACTTGTATTTTACCTTTACAAGGAACTAGTTGACGGATCATCCAGGAACAGTTGTAAAAGAAAATATATACATCTTAGCTACTTGTAAATCTAGTTCAGGTTTATTGCTGTTAGGTTTATGTGTATTACACTGATGTGTCATAATATGTTGTTTAAAACCATGTGATATTTCCACTTGTCGGTGAGGAGTTACGTATTTCTAATACCTTGCTATTCTATTTTAATCACCATGTTTTACAGAAATTTGTAACAAACATTAATGTATTTATCTCAACATTACAAAAACAGTCAGCCTTCTTTACAAATAAAAAAAATGCATTGAATTCATTGAACTGAATCGAACAATATCCAGTTGATAAAGCAGGGTACATAAGTCATTAGTTTAGTTATGTAAACTAATTTCTATTTTATTTCTCGATTTAAATGTCATCTATTATAGTAGTATATACATGATCCTTAAACATGACCGTGTTAAAGTAAACTGAAGTTTTTAAAATCTTGCACAGAATACATACATTTTTATATCCTTCAGCTTCAAAAGTATCTCTGTATGGTACACATTTTGTTCCAAATCATTTAGATCCTTTAATGATTCGATTAACTTTGGTTTATTTCATTATTACTACACTGTATCAAACTAATACCAGACAGCTCCAATGACTTAGTGGTTAGAGTGTCCGCCTCAGATGTGGGAATTCGTGGGATCGATCCCCGGCCGAGTCATATTAAAGTCTTACAAATATTATATTAACTGCTGCCTCGCTTGGCGCTCAGCATTAAGAGGTTAGTGTTAGGACTGGTCGGCCTTCTGTCAGGATAATGTAATTGGTTTGGACGGTATGCAAGATGTACGACATGATGTCCCAGTGCTACACATCAATATGAATAGCCACACTACAAACATCTTAGCGATGTGACTAAACTTTATTTAAAGCTTCCTTCTCTCTGTCTCTCTCTCTGTCTCTCTCTCTCTCTCTCTCTCTCTCTCTCTCTCTCTCTCTCTCTCTCTCTCTCTCTCTCTCTCTCTCTCTCTCTCTCTCTCTCTCTCTCGATTGATTTTGAAATAGGTCAGTCATAAGTAATCAAAACGGACCTTATAAAATTTTCATTGTCATTCTTTGGTTTATGAAGTCATGTATCATATTTTATACTTTACGTCAAATCATTCTTCTAGTAATAACTGTAGCATAGCAGTGATTTTGGTGGAATCCTCAAAGTGTATTATATCCATTTCTATTTCATGAATGAAATGAAATAGTCGCTTTTAACTGTTTTTTAAATTTTAATCACCGTCTTCTTTACAATTTTTTTTTAATTGTCTTCATGTAACTCTCTGATATATCCCATGTTTGAAGGCTGTAGGGACTGTTGAATATATTGTAAATGGCCTGTTATTTCCTTTACAATTTTCAATGATCATACAAAGTATTGCATGTGTTCAAATACATCTTAAAGATATTGTAATAAAATTTTGGAGATGCGCATTTGTTACAGCACCCCGTTTAAGGAATTCTTAGAGTAGTGTGATAACTTGTTTGATTATTGTAATTCGGTGCAATGGAAATGTTCTTTAACCCGATATAATTAGCCAATTACTAGGAGCTAACGTCACGGAGAGAAGTGTTAGTGAGTTTCCATGACGTCATGGTGAATTAGTAGTGAATTTAGACTTAAACTTCATGACTGTTCCTGGTGGAATAATACAGTCCTTATTAACCTCTAGTGGTGTACATTGGTGTTTTGACTGCAGTGGCAATATTTACGTACCTACGATTAATTACACAATGGATTAAACAAGAAGGGACTCGGCATATACTGGTTATGTCGCCATGGTGGCAAATGTGAAGCAGTTGTACATGCGTACTGTGCTTTTTAACCATAGACTGACTGGCCTAAGGTGCAGTAAAAATAGTTCCTTGTATTAGTAGATAGCTGTAGAGTTTATGCGGCATGAACTGAACGGCTGACGGTACGGAAGGTTGATGAAGAAAAACTATGCAAACGTGTAGCTTATAGATGTTTTGCAAGTTGGGAGATCTGTTGTCTTGCATTGATTATAGTAAAATTATGTATAGAATGGACACGTGGTGAATTTTAATTTGCAAATGAAGTTGTATAGAAGTCTTTGGAAATTTGTGGCAAACTTATGACTTTTAGCTTGGATTGCGTCAGTGTTTAGACACCGTTCGGTCAAGTAAATACCCCTGGCTTGTAACAATTTTTAAATCTTGTTACTGTTGTCTACTTTGGCAATTCGAATACTTTTGTGTTCTTTCAGTACCACTCAACGGAATTGAGAATACTTGTTAAGTACTTATTCTCACCAGATTTTCATATGTTCTAAAATGCTATAATCCAATGTCTTATGTACCTGAAAATCAAACCCGATTTGTACAAAGTATGTAGTAGCTGCACCAGCTGACTTTGTCTAAATATGTAATACAGACTTTATTTTTATACTGATTTAGTGACTCATATTTTACATCTGTTTTCTCTAATGACATTTAATCCCTCCTAGCTAACTAGCTTTTCTAAATTCATGTTTAAACACAACCTTAGGCATACTTTAGAAATCTATTCCATTTCCGTAGTAGTCATTAAGGCTGATATTTAATCTGCTTATGGTGTTTTCTGTGATTGTCCGTAATATTCATTACTTGTATGTAGCCAAATCATCTAACAAATATAAGCCTAAACATTACACAATTTCTTACATATAGCGATTATAGAAAATACAAAGATTATACGTTAGAGTAACTTTTAAATTTAGCGATCTCACAGATATAGATGAACAAAGTTTAAGGTTTTAAATGCATATAAACTGTAGCCAATTCAATAGATGTGTTTATAAAATTGTAGACATTTAAACCCAACTATTTAGTACCGTAATTGGTTATGTGGTCTGCGTAATGAAAGTTTGGAGTGACTAGGATGCTTGAATTGTATTTGAACCATTCAATATTAATGCAATCTTAAATATTGTTAATATCAACCATACCTTCTTTCATATTGATGGTGAACAGTTTAGGTTTATATAAATCATCAGATATTAAATAATGTCTTTGTTTCATTCCTGCCACTGATGTAAAAGAATATGTTGTTATTCATTTTATTGGAAGTGGTGCAACGATATATTGTCTGTAATGTGTATACTGTCGATTTTATTGTTACTTGGATTATCACGACAAACATCCTTATCAAGTGAATAGGAAGATAAAAGCACTTGTCAAAACATACTTCCACATACTATTGGATTTGTTTACATTGATGCAGTAAAAATTTAGTTGTTCGTTCTTTCATTGTTGGAACAGAGTAGACATGTATCTTTGTACATATCTACAATAAACTTAAGGAAACAGTAATACCATCTATTCATTAATACATTTTGTTTGCGCTATCAGAATTGGCATATTTTGATAGTGCAGTTTTATCTTGATTATGTTTCGGTCTCTCTACTTTTGTCACTTTAAGTTTCTGTGAAAACTTATTAAGTTGTCTAACATGTTCAACTCTACCTGGATACTTCTACATCGGCCAAGTTACCTTCACTGACGATTTGTCAAGCGTATGCATTTCTTCTACTCTAAGTCATGTAGAAATTACATTGAGGTTACCAGTAGTAAATATTTAGTGCTTATGTTGAGTTGAAATAAAACCCTGAAATATGAATTAAAGGATAACAAGGTGACAAAGATGGCAAAGATATTTATGAGCTAAAAAATTGTATCTACTTCAGACTTTGTCAAAGCGGGACTAGATAACACATGAAATACATCATTTAAAGATACAGGATGAATCCTATGGAATGCGTTGGTATGTTAAAAACATTTAATCAAGACATCAGTTCAGATTTTTTATTTAAAAAAATCAGTGTTCCAATAACATATTTCTTAGATGGTTAAATTTTACCGAGCATGTATGTTTGAACGAAATAGAGATCGATATAAATCGAGTTAAGGAGATATCGACATAGATTAAATTAACCCATGGGCCACTGTTGACTTGTTCAGCCCATATGAACACAATAAATAAATTGGTCAAACAATCGATCCATTGTTATAATGATATTTAATTCTCGTTTGTTTTGTTCAGGAAAATAATATTAGTATTTTCATCTCCCATGAAACCCAATTTTTTAAAGCTGGTTTTAAATCCATTGCGGCAGTTTAATAATGACACAAGGCAGCATACATTGTGATCCCATTTCTCATCATCCTACTTACGATAACGCTGATAATGAGGAAACATTAATGAGGCGAAATTGATTATCAGATCAATGATGTTTCTTCCGATGAGTTATTCGACTAAAGTTGCTAAATGCTAATAATTTTTATGATGTTTTAAACGCAAAGAAAAGACAAAACTGAAGCCTCATTTAAACAGTTAAGGAAGAATCTAGTATTGCCTAGACGTCGACAAGAAACAAATATAAATTTTAAAATTACTAAATAAGGTAAAAGAGATGTAAAGTTAGAATATAAGTTAAAGATTTCTATTTTGAAAATTACAAAAGAGCACAAGAGGTCCATTATTGAAATCATACTTGCCTTGAAGATGGGAAGTGGTCAGTTTCACAGAGGTTATCAAAAATGTTCAGCAAAAAGACCATTACCAGCGTAATGTTTCTGAAGTAGATATCACCTGGTCATGCTGAAATATCATGTTATCAATCCAGAGAAAACCTAATTATCCAAAGTGAAAAATTTGCTATAAATTTTAACTTTGCCTGATTTAAAATTTAAAGAACCATGTCTTGCATATATCAGACACAGCAGACGTTGCAGAGTAGTTCTCTGGTGCAAATTTGTTCAGGTTAGTGCACTGCAATGGAACGTACCTAGATTGCTTTAGACCAGGTGTCGGCAACGTAATGCACGCTTGCCACAATGCGGCACATCAAAATGTTTTTTGTGGCACCCGAAGGGCAATCAAAAATCTCGATTTTAATATTGTTACTCTTTTACTGGTTGCACGGACTCGTTCATTTGTAACTATGTACAATATATTGATGACTCTATTTTAGATGTTAAAAAGAGAATTTTCTATAGTTATTAATAAATTTTCCATACCATATTAAGTACTAACAGAAGAGAAGAGCTAGAGTTCATCATAAGGGTATATACTGTCATCCATACTTCCTGCTTCCTCTAACGCCATATCGGTCTTTTGCTCAGTATATGAGTATCAAATCCGATTTTAGCTGCTGAAATGACTTCGAACTCTCAAAGGGTTATTTCCATCCCCATGCTAGCGTCTTTGCAAACCTCACCAAATCGTACTTGTTGAACCGTTTAGAACATTTTGAAGTTATTGGTATCGTATATAAAACATTCTGAAACAACTTAGTAGACCTAATGACCTGACATGCTATCTTTTAAACATAATCCTTTATTAATTTTACTTTCTTAAAGGAAATAAAATATATCCCAATATGTATTATTCAATTTATGTCTTGTCCTTAAGGCTCAGATGTATTAATTTTAAAATACGTTGAAAAGTGATCCCTATTACAGATGTCATCACCAATTTCACAGAAGTCAACGAAAAGAGATAGATCACAGATGGTCATGTCTAATGATATGCATGGTCACGTAATCCGATGAAGATAGGTATACGGCTTGTCATTTAAAATGATATATGTATTTTCAAACGATGCCACTATTGTCTTTCCCCTCTGACTGATATTGTTGTGTTCACAAATGTATGGTGGCTATGAAAATAGA